GCACGCTGGCCACCAGGATGCCCCGGGAAGTGCGTGGCGGAGACCGGACGGGGCACCCTCACCAGGCGCCCAGCCACGCTCTCAGCACACGGAGCGAGGCGGACGCCATCCCAACAGATGCAGACAACAGTGACCGCCCCTGGGAGAAGGGGCCCGCACGCCCCCCCCCAGGACCTTCCAGGTGGTTTCAGAACCAAACTGACGCAAGACCACGGTTGACAGGAGTGAAAAAGCAATTTAATTTGTACATGCGGAGGCCTCCGGAAGTGGGACCTAAGGAAATGAGCAGGGCAGGCAGCCTTCGTCCCTCGCAGGTGGCCCTCTGTGAGGACGCCACAGGGCACGGCCGCTGGGCGCCTGAGCCCTGAAGCGCTAAGCGGAGTTTGCCACCACCCCACCCCGGCCCCTCTCCGTGGATCCGGACATTTATTTCTTGCTTTCAGGGGACGGGATGGTCGGCGTGTCCTCTTTGAGGGACAGAAAGTGACCTGCAGGTGGTCTGATCGTAAACTACCTGGGCAGGTCCTGCGGGCAGTGCCCCAGGCATGTCTCTCCCTCCCTTGAGGAGGGCTGGCCTGCGCCTTGGGCAGCCCTGTGGGGCGTCTGCGCGGCTGGGTTCACAGGCCCTGGAACCGGTGCGACCACCCTCAGGAGATCACAGCGCCCCCTCAGCCTCCCCTAGCTCCCCGCCCTGCCTCTCCCACTGCACGTCATCTTCCCACATCTCCTTCTCGACCTCAGACGCCCCGAAGACACTGCAACGCTGTCGCTCTCGGGAGCATCTGAGGTCCTGCTTCCCACAGCTGTTGTCAGTTTGGGCTCAAAAAACTCATCACAGTCGTCCACAGGTCTGGGCATTTCTTATGTCGACAGCACATTTTAGGGTGGCCTGCCCTGAGCCCCATATCACACCCATCCACTCCCCCACCACCCACTCGTCCGACAGAGGAGGCCCTGCTGGCAGCCAGCTCCATGCCAGCTCCATGCCAGCTCCCACAGCTCCTGCACTGCCAGGCGCCTCTCACCGGGCCTGCTCCCTGGGGAAGCCGCGGGTCCCTGGTGGCTGTCCACAGCCGCTCAAAGCCTGGCAAGACCTCAGAAATAGGACTTTTCGTACTTGCCACCTTTGTCAACATGGACTTCTGACTCTTCATCTGTGTGGTTTGTGCGGGTTTCCTGCACCTGTCATTTTCTCGGTCGTGGGTGAAGCTCGGGGTCCTTAAAATGTTATCTAAGGATCCTAACATCTAACTTTTTAAAAAAGACTTATTCTGAGGGGGCAGTTTTAGGTCCACAGCAAGACCGAGCGGCCGGTGCGGAGCCCTCCCACACAGCCTGCCCCCTCGCCCGCGTCAGCACCCCCACCAGACGGCGTGTTCGTCACAGTCGATGAGCCTGCACTCACCTCGTCGTCACCCAGCGTCCGTCGTTGACGTGAGGGTCCCCCCGGGTGTCGTCCGTCCTGTGGGTTCAGACGAGTGTGACATGACACGTGTCCAGCACTGTTGCGTCGTGCAGAGCAGCGCCTCTGCCCTGAACCCCCCCACCACAGCCCCCCAGGGCAAGTGTGCCCCGCACATTGTCACAGCTGTAAATGAAAGTTTACGGCTATGCACGACAGCGTCACGGAGTACCTATTCCTTAGAAAATGGTTTTTTGCCTGTCTTCTTAGGTAAAAATGTTTAATCATTTTAACTCGCATATCTTTCGCGTATGTGGGAGGGCATTTGTGTTTCATTATGTCGCGTTCCTGCCGAATTGTTGATTCATCCAGAAACGACTTGGTAAAAAAAGAAGAGATTACGGCTCCAGCTTTATTTTTCTAAGTGGTTAGCAGCTGACCCAGTGCTACCTGCTAGACATGTGTCCACAGACAGGAAACATTGATTTACATTCACTTTATTGCATCACACATGCGCATCTAAAATCCCAGTACGTACCTAGGAATACCAGGTGCTGCAGGCATTAAAAATAATAACAAAAAAATAAAATAAAAGTCCAGTACGTGAATATGTTAATTTAGACGTGCCAGCCATGTTTTATGAACTGGTTGCATGCGGGTCTCGCCACATCAGCCCCCGCCACACTGCAGTGTCACCCGCAAGCCCAGCCACTCACGCCCCTTGTCCATGTCCTCTGAAGGGTGACGGGAGGGGATGGGCGGAAGCTTGGACCCAGAGCACGCGGTCTGCCCCTTGGCGGTTCCTGCAGGGGGGCCCTGGGCGGTTAACTCTCCTGTTTTCCTAAAACGGCTTTGCCTTGACCATTTTCTAGAACGACAGCTTAGCAAGGACTTGTCGAGGCAGAGGAGCGTCCAAACCTGTAGAGGATTTTTATGAAAATTTATTCTAGCCAGGCGGAGAGTAGACAGACACGCTGCCGTGGGGTGACAGGCGTGGCTCCCTCATGCCTTTGGGGGTGAGGAGGGGGCGGGCGCGAGGGCGGTCACAGGGTGGGAGGCGCAGGGAGAAAGGTCCTCCCCAGAAGGGCCCCTGCCGCCCGGCCCGTGACAGCGAAGCACAGAGCCCCACGGTTTCAGTGAGGGCGAAAAGGGATGGCAGCCTGGGGGAACGCGCCTGCTGAAACTGGGTGCACTTTGCTAGGATTTTAACACATTTCATGGCTTTTTCGAAAACAGTGTCCTTTTTTTCAGTTGGTAAAATATGTATAACAAACCTCACCATGTAAACCGTCAAAAAGTGGGTGATTCTGTGTCGTCAGTCACGTATACGCGGCTCTGCGACCATCACCACCACGTAGTCCGGGAACTTCCCTGTCTCCCCAGCAGAAACCACTGCCACCCGTCCCCAGCCCTGGCGACCTGCAGTCTGCTTCCTGTCCGTATCTGTGCCTGTCCTGGACGGTTCACATAAACGGGATCACACATCGTGTGATCCTTAGGTTGGCTTCTCTCACTGAGCGTTGTGTATGCAGGTCTGTCCATGTTACAGGCGGTGTCCCTCCTTCTCATGGCTGAGTGACACTCCCCTGCGTGGACAGGCCCCGTTGCGTTTGTCCTTCTCCTAATGGGCATCTGGGTCCCTTCTCTCCTCTTGGCGACTATGGCTGGAGCCGCCCCGAGCATCCACGTGCAAATCTCTGCACCTGTGTTTGGTTCTTTCAGGTCTGTCCCCAAGAGTGAGCTGCGGGCTCACAGGGTGACTCTGTGGCATGTTGAGCTGTCACACCGCTTCCGGGGCGGCCACCAGCGGAGGGTGAGCACTCTCGGTGTCCACATCCCCGACCGCACCGACGCTCTCATTTTGGCGTCAGCCACCCTGGCGGGTGTGCGGCGGTGTCTCGCTGTGGCTTCGACTGGCACTTATTTCCCGATGCCTTGCGGAGTCCAGCATCTTTTCACACGCTGGGCGGCCGTTTGTACGTCTTCCGATGTCATAGCTTTTAAACTCAGGCTTTGGACATGAAGGAAAGCACGTTCACCTCCAGGTTTTGTCCTTTGTGCTCTTCAACTACTCGTCCCTTCGGGGCCCCCAGAAGCGGCGCGTGTGGCCAGAGGGACTTCACGACCCCCGTGTGCCGAGCGTGCCGAGCGTGCCGAGCATTCCTCCTCGAGAACTTCAAATGAATGGATAAACACACTTAAAAAAATTCTGTTTCAGCTTCTGATAAGGTGCATCTCCATAGGGACAGCCCCCAGGGGCCCGCGGGAGGCGGCAGGAAGCCCGGGGGCGGCAGGGGGTGGTAAACGATTGATTTCTCACTGAGAAATGGCATTTCACCCGCAGTGACATCGTGCAGGGTCAGCTCAGAGATCAGTTCCGAGATCAGTTCCCCGAGCTTTTTAGGGATCTTTGAGAGAGGAGAGGAGGCATCCGAAAAACGCAGAGGCCAGCGACTCAGCCGGTCAAAGCTGCTGTCCCCCGTGCCGCCCAGTGCTCTCCGGCTCACGTGTCTTCCCACGGCTCCCTCCCCCACCTCGAGGACTCCCCAGCTCACCTCTGTGGATTCTCGCCTTGCCGGCCAACCAATGTTCTTACCCCTGTAGCTGTGTAGGAACAAGACTATGTAAAAGTGCTCGTTATGTTACAGTCGGGGCTCAGCCTTGGGGTAGGAATCGGGTGAGCAGGTGCCGGCGTCAGTAAGCGCTGCTCCCCGCTTACGGCCTAGGAGTCCCCGTCTCCCTGTTCGAGAATCCTGTGGTGGTGCCGATAACGCCAAGGTCGCGGGTTCTGCAAAACCAAATGACCTGTAAGACCGGCGGTGTGAAAATTCCTCCCCCCTGCAGCCCCCCACTGAAGGTTCCCCTCCCCATCCTGAGAAAGGAGGCACATGCGAAACCTCAAAGGAATCGTGCGCCCCCTGCGCAGACCCTGCAGAAGTCTCCGGACTGTGAGAAATCCAGCCAGGCCGGGCTCTGCGTGGAGCGTCGCCCCACCCGCTCCGCGGCCTGATGAGTTCTCCTTCCTCTAACGAAGTGGTCCGAGCGCCGAACTCCTCCGTTGGGTGTCGCTTCCTGCGACAACTTAACCCATTTGAGTCACCAAGTGGAGAGCCCCTGGGTGCCCAGTCGTTTCTCAGGGGGATGGACTGCTGAGCACCCATTACGAGTGTCATCTTGAGTTTACGCACTGCCCCTAGGTGTCCACGGGCGACAGACCCGGAACGCCCACGGATGCCCCAGATCCACGGGTGCTGGGGCCGGGGGGTGGCGGGTCGTCCGTAGACCTACGCATCGCTTCTCACTTCTCTCTGCCGTGAGTGAGTGTGTCTCAGGGTTGGTGCGTGCACGTGTTCTCGCTGCCCCTCTGAGCTATGTAGGGTGCGTGGCCGTGGACCGCTGCCTGAGTGCGTCGGGGAGCTCTGCCAGGCCGCTGAACTGCCGCCGCGTGCGCGTGCGCCCTGGGTGCCCGTCCCAGCCGCTCCAGCAAAGAGCAGGGACTTTGGTTTCCAGGAGGAGCATGCCGTTCTTGAGTGTCCGTAGTCGCCGAGAGGAATCTGGGAGTGATGTGTGCACAAACCTCTCCCTCTCTCGTTTCCAGGGACCCTGAGGTGCCCCCACGCCGGCCCCGAGGCCCAGAGCCCAGGTGGGGGGCCCCAGGCACCTGTCGATCTCGGCCTGCCTCTGCAGCAGCTGCAGCTGCACGCCATGACCCAGGTAACGCTCCGTCTACGAAACGCGTTTTTAATGACTTCTTACGGGGTGCTTGCTGTTGCATCTTCACCACCGAAACTTCAGAGCACGGCCCGCTCACCCCACTCACCCGCACCCAAACCCAGCCCGGGACGAGCGCCGCTGTCCGTTTCCTGCTGTCGTTCCTGCTACCGATCACGTCACACACGTGTTCTGCAGCTTCACCCGCCTGGGCGTTAGTATTGGAAGTATTTGCCAGTATGATAGGTTTTAAAAATTGTGTCTTTTAAAAATTTCTTACATGCTTAGTGGCGTTAAAGTTTTTAATCAACATATTGGCCGTTTATTTCTTCTCTTGTGAGTTACTTATGCATATCGTTTGCTGATTTTCCTACTGGCGTGTTTGTACGTCTGTTGGTAAGAGTTCTTTGTGTTTGTACGTCTGTTGGTAAGAGTTCTTTGTGTCTGAAGGGAATTGCTACTTGTCTGTCGTTTGCCTGTTTCTAACTTTTCGTTTTTTTAAATCCATAGATGAGTTTTTACGCTAATGACCTGTTGATCCGCTGTAACAGTTTACTTTACTTTTTTCGGGAGGCGCGGCTGGGCTGTCGTGCCAGGCGTTGATGCCACGTCTGAGCACGGGGGCCACCCTCAGGTGACAGTGCTTATGTCACAGGAGAGGGTGGCGGCCCTGAGTGACTGTCCCAGTCGCCAGGCTTGTTGCTTAGGGTGACGGTGCTGTTGAGCGCTCGCAGGACAGGTCCAGCCCACACGATGGGGGAGGCAGGACACCAGGACCCTGACGGACACGCAGGCCCTATGGTGGCCCTTCGTCTGTCCCTAGCCTCGCCCGTCCTGACGGTGCTGTTGCCGTTGCCGTCTGCAGCTGATTGTGTGCCCAGCCGTGCGGCCAAGGGGTGCGGCCGGCCTCCAGCGGCCTCGCTCTCGTGTCCTTGAGAGACCTGTCTTTGGGCGGCGCCCGCGTCTGGCCAGCTTCCGACGGGGACCCCGATGCCGCCTCTTGGCTGAAGACAGGGTGGCTCCCAAGGGCAGTTCTGTCTTCTCTGACTTTCACAGAGGCGACCCAAAATCTCCACGGCGACCGACAGATCAACTCCTCAGAAAGAAAACCAGTCCCCAAAGCCACGCCAGGCTCCAGAGCGCCACCAGGACAGTGATCATCACACCCAAAAGTCCTCGTCCCTTGCCAGCAGTTCCCTCCAGGACACGTGGAAGTTACTGGACCTGGGATCCAGCCCTTCTGGCCTCACTTCCCAGGATGACTCGACTGCAGGTAGGTGGGGCGAGCGTTTCTGGGCCGAGAGGGCGGCCGCGGTGGCCGGTCCCAGGCCGATGGGCCCAGGGGGTGCTGCACGCCTCTGCCTGTTGAAGTCCTGTGCTTAGGTTCAGTCACCTGTGAACTCTGCAGCACCCCACGTTATGCAGCACCGACTCACGGGCAGAGCGCGTCACCAGCGCCAGCTCGTGGGGTTGAGATAGACGGGCTCAGGGACAGATGGACTTGGGGGCAGATGAGCACTCCGTTTTGCTCAGGCCGGTGGCCATCGTGAGGTTGGCAGGAGAATCATTTGAGGGGCCCCTTTGGGGGAGCTGCACAGGGCCAAGATAGCAAGAAGAGTGGGGGGGGGTCACTGTCTGGGGTGCTGCGGAGAGGTGCGAACTTGGTGTCCGTCCCGGATCAGTACTGAGCGCGTCCTTGTCCCGGCCCCACAGCCACTCGACTCGTGACCGTGTCCCACCGTGGACGACACTTAGCCGCATCCAGCCCAGCGCGCGGTGCCACGGCGAGCGGCGTCGCGTAGCGGCACATCCGGGAGGTCCCCAGGGGTGGCCTCGGCAGAAGGTGTCGCCGTGTGTAGTTTGGCAGATCTGGTCTCACCGGGCCCCTTGGGGACACCGCCCGCTCAGTCACACCAAGGTGCGGGGGTTCTCCCCGGCCCGTCAGCAGCCATGGCCCCCGCTCCAACGGGCGTCGCCTTAATCAGCGTTTCTCCTGCGAGGACTTGGACCATCCCCGCTCCCTTGTCTTCAGGCGTCTGCTCGTTCCCAGGCTGGGCTCGTCGCCTTGTTGATTCGCGGGAGCTCATTCCATGTGATGGGAGGTGGGCCTTTTCTGACCCGTGAATTGCAGATATTTTCCCAGTTTTTCACCTGCCTTCTGACTTGGTTTGCAGTGGTGTTCGTCGTGCGCATGCTTTTGATTTTTCCGTAGAGACAGAGTTACGGTTCTGCCCTCGTGTTTAGCCCTTTCTGGGTCTCGGGCTGTACTCAGGCCTTTTCCGTTCCCCGAATCTCTCCGACATGGCCACGGCTTCCCTCGTCTGCGGCTCCACCATCTACTTGGAATTTGCCACACCACATGTCACGCAGCAGGAGCTAGTTGTTCTGGGCGGCTGGCCATTGTCCTGCAGCAGTGACCGGGTCACCCACTCGTTTGGCGCCCCGCTTCCTCGGTGACGCTCCGCCTTCCATGCGCGTCTGAGCCGGAGTCCAGGCCGTTGCTCCGTCCGCTGGATCTCGGTCCGCACGTGCAGCGTGTGACGGTCAAATCACTGTGGCCTCTGGCGCCGTCTCGGTCTGGGTGGCCGGGGGCGTCCTCTTCACGCTCCTCCTCAGAGGTCGATTGGTTTGCTCCGGAGTCTGTGGACGCTGCTCGTTTTCGTTGCTTCTGCGTCAGCGTCCGGATCCTCTGCGTTTTCCACCGGAGTCAGTGAGCACGTCCGCGGGTGCTCGCGCTTTAGACACCCGTGAATGTCTCTTTAATTTATCCTTATTTACTTTTCAAATCTCTCACTGGCGCCTCTGAGGTATATATTTCTTCCTTTAAGAAAAGTACGAGAGTTTCGCAGGGGAAGCTCTCGGGGCCTCGCGTGCGAGAGCGCGTTACCTTCGCCTCACTTTTCAGTGCGCTGCAGTTAACGTAAACGGCCAGCAGCTTCCATTTCCCATCATGCGTCAGGCTAAGTCCCTGTGTGGACAAACAGCTGAAACGGCTGAGCGAACCACTCGGGCCGAGCTTGTGAACCGGCAGCACGAGACGGGGACCCGAACACACAGCGAAGGGATGCAGGAGACAAGCGACAGAACCCAGGGCCCGCCCGCCCAGGGTGGGCGTGTGGCGGCGGCTCCCATCCCGTGCAGCTGGGGCTCGAGGGGCTGCGCCCTCAGTGGAAGGGGACCCGGGGACACCCCACCCCACCCTGGCCACGGGCTGCGAGGAGACTGCCCCACAGCCTGGCACGTTGGCAGCAGGTGGATGCTGCTAAGAGTCGATC